CCTCCGCGCTCGCTAAGTAAGAATCTCACACCGAACTCGTTTCCTTCTATTTAAATCAGAATACTTCCGCTGATAATTTGAATCCTTGCGCGTTCTACTCAAATTTACATATTCTGGCATTGGCAGTTCCAGGGGAAAGTAAGGCTTGACAGGAAAGATAGTTTAAACTTAAAATAATGTTAGTTAAAATAAATATAAACCCTACAAGCTTAACTTCAACTGGCATAAAAAGGGCTAGTAAAAACAATATCTGAAACTCATAAGACGTGAAAAACATCGAACCTGATTTTTTTTTTTTTTTTTTAGAATGAATAATATTATTATGAATTTTGTACTAAAAATGAGTTTTAAAATGCGTTTTTGAGTACGTTAGATAGATGATTCTTCTGCAATTATATGTGAAACTACTGTATTTTTCTATGTGATGTAACATGAAAAATCTAGAGGACGATGCTCTGCTGGAAAAGTAAGAATATAGGAGCAAGTATATTTAATATTGAGTAAATGGCTATCTTGCTAATTTGGCGATGTATCGCGAAGCTGGGAACGCTTTTGGCGACTAATTTTAGATGGATATCACCAAAAGTCGACAGACTTGGTGACATTTTGGTCGAGTTTCTGCAAAACTGTAATGGATGTTGTAACTGAATAATTATAATTGATGCTCTGTGTAACTTTAACCGTATTCGACCCTGATATGCCTTCCAGTAATTTCGAGAAGTAGAATATACTAGAAATATCTCGGCGGCCGGGTGAAAGCCATGTAATAGCGGAGAAAGCATCTGCTCTCAGTGATCAAGGTATCTCCGGTTAGCTTCGCTATTTAAATTCGCTTTGCATTGCGTTGTTTAACGTTCTTAGCAGTTTGAAATGTAACTACTAATTGCACTCTGTGATAGTGTGATGAGTTGTACGAATATTTTTGTGGAAACTTCCGGAACTATGGAGTGTTACTTTTCGTAAAATAAATTTTATCAAACTATCATCAATTCTGTGTGCATGCAATCTGTTATACATGCAACTTAATGCTGGTGACAAGAACGACGGAAAGGCAGCTAAGACAGCTAGTGACTGTGCTGCATTCCAAGAAAAGATAGAAGGAGCCGTTAACTCCCTCAAAGATGATATGAAAGCTGGGCAAGCAGAGATGAAATCAAGTCAAGAGGAAATGAAAAAAGAAATTACTGCCATAATTAGAAAACAAATTTGGAGTTATAGAAGGCAGAATAGACACAGTTGAAAACAAAGTTGGAAAAATTGAAGAAAAAGTTCTTTTTTTCTGTCAAAGAACAAATCGAAGAGAGAGTTCCTGCTGTTGAACAACAAATCGATTACAGACTTTTTTTTCTGTCTCCAAAAAGTCGACACCTTAAAGAAATTCATAGCGACAGCAGGAAGCAATTCTGATGGTTTTAAATTATCACGCATGCCTTATCGTCCCTCTCTAAAGCTATCCACATATGATGGTAAGACCTGGCAAGTGTATAAGACACAGTTTTCTATAGTGGTGGACACGAGTGGATGGGATTCCCAAGCTGCTATCTCGCCGCTTCTCTGAGAGCAGACGCTGCGGATATCCCTCAAACTCTTTTCGAAAACCAAAGGCTAGATTTCGAAGCTGTATCTGGCTCGTTGGAGCTGCACTCTGGGGAGAAGTGTCTATAAGACCATAGCAGGCGTCAATTAAAATCTCGCCTACAGAAACACTCCAGGAGCTCGCCACGGATGTGGAAAGACTGTCTCATCTCGCCTTTTCAGACTACCCATTAGAAACAAAGGATATTCTGTCCCTGCAGTACTTCATCCATGGCATTCGGGATCAAGGTACGGAAAACCCTGCGAATGGCGGATGTCAAGGATTAAAAAAAACGTTCTACTGTATGTCATGGAGTTCAAGGGAGCCCAGCAAGCAACTCGTACAGACCGCCAACCAGTCAGAGCTGTTGATGTCCAGGAGCCAGTGGTTCAACTGACTGCTCGTCTAGATGATTTAACCAGACACGTCAATGCCTTGAAACAGAAGAGGAGTGACAAGAAACGATCCTAATGTGTTGGAACTGCGGTGCTGAATGCCATGAACGAAGGAACTGCAGTGCAGAACAGTTCAGAGCACGAAAAATAAGACCGCTCCCCAGCAAGGACGCAATAAAAAAATTACTGGCCATCTCGCAGAGCGGAGGTTGAAAGATAATAAGAAACCCCATTTTAAAGCGCTTCAGATTTCTGCAGTGAGTGGCGGCAGTAATGGACTCTTTATCCTAGGTATCTCAGTGGAGTTCCCTGCAATATGACCATCGATACATGAGTGATTGTTACGCTCATTCGAAAAGTTTTGGCTGAACAACAGGAAGGCAAACTCATTTGGACGCTGCTCTGCACACGGCATATGTAGCAGATATTCCAAATCATCTCATACTCGGATTAGACTTTTTTCCTTAGACTTTAAAATTAAATGATCAGCAAAGTATGTTGTAATTATTGAATGTTCTCTAAAATTTGGAAAATAAATGAAAAATATATGGATGATGTTTTATCCTTAGATTGGCAAAACTTTATCTCAGATGCTACCCCTCCCTCTACAAAAAGTGATAGCATTTGTTTCAGAGATTAAAGAATCAGATAATGCATAAAGCTAGGGTTTTTTTAAATCATTCATTTTAGTAAGAATGTGGTCACAAATTACAAGATAACATGGAAAAAGCACACCGCTGTTGAAATAGTCATTGTTTAAAACCAATCATAGAAAACTTTGTTTCCTGTTTTGTTTTCAAATTATAGACGAATATTTTGCGTTTTTGGTTTCCTTGAAAACCATTGCAAAGTTATCCTTCGCGTTTTAGCGCACAAGGAAAAGCTAATTCTCTTGAAAAAATAATTGTGCAACTATCACAATTTGATTTACGTTTAAAAAGGTTACCTATATTATATTTAAAACAGATAAATGCTTCCTTAGTTTATGTATGCGTTAAGAAATTATCTGAAACTAGAATAGGTCTTTAAATTTCTGTATCATATTTCTATCCAGTTTTTGATAATATTCAGCAATACACAACAATTTCAGAGTTTTAAGTAATAATCACAAGGAAGGTTGAAATCATTGCAATTAAAGTGGGCATTGATGCAGTGGAATGCAGTTTATTACAGGAAAGCTTTAACGTGCCTTTCCTCTAACATGATTCGTTGTCATGTAAAATTTCAATTTGAAAGCCAAACAAAACTTCAGACAAGTTTCATTATATTTTAAAACTCAATTTATTAATTGAAAAATAATATTTCGTCTTGTTACTGACGAAAAATGAATTTGTTACGGATAAATCATAAAAATCGCATTTAATTTTCGATTAAATAATTTTAATGTTTAAAATAACCAGAAAGATGTATACACCATATTTTCCTCTTTAGTTCTTCCCTCCGGTAACTTGATAGTTACCAATAGCTTATTCACATATACTTTTCACTGTTATTTTCTAATTTTATTTATAAAATGAAAAGTATATATGAATAAAATATGGATAAGTACGGGGCTACGGGGGATAAGGCAAAAGTACGGTGTATATGTTGTCATAAATTTTTTACATATTTAAATACTTTCAGTGACATTATATGTCAGTAGTAGTATCTCTGGTATAATGTAATATGAAATGCCGCAAGAATGCTAAGCTTAGAAAAACGTACGAAGGTTGATCCAAAAAGAAGTTTACAAGCAGAAGCATTTGAAACGCAATAATTGGGGAGCGAATATTTCCACCCAGGCTGGTTGACAGATGGCGCTAGTTGTCCTACAGCGGTTCTACGAGTAAGTAGCGTCAGTACGCAGACACTTAAGAGCGACAGTAATGGCACGACGTCTAGAAAAGTGGTGTGGAGAACTCTTTATTATTATTATTTGTCCGCTGCCCCGAGAGAGGGCGCTACCAGCTTTCTCCCTCTTCCTCTCTGGAGGAAAATTCGAAGTGGTTACTCGGTTCCTGGCTGCCGTCGGTGAAGCACGCACTCACCTCTCTTTCCCTCCATTATGTTATCGTGGCTGTAATATGACTTTCTTGATTTTTTACTCATGCGGACTTGCGAACTGTAAAAATACTCATCTTGTAACTACATGCAATGTGATTGTGTATAAGTGAATATATTTTAAAATATATATCATCCTAGAATTAAATATAAATGTTAATATTACCGAGTCAGATTTTGTTAACATTCAACGTGCAATCAAAAATGGTATCCATCAACAACCGCCATAAATGGTGACTCGTCAAGTTAGTGAACACGTGCCTCATAACCTGCTTGCATCCTTAAGTTCTGTGATTATAATGTGCTATGAAGTGAAAATTATTTCTGTTCATGCAAACTACTAGCGTAATCCATCATTATTTTCGTGTCATCAGCAATATAGTGTGAAAAACAGTTGTGCCTGCTTAACAACGTGCTTGTGAATTATCATGTGTCTCATGCAAATCGTGAAAGTGCTTTGAAGTGATCTCCATATAAATCTTACAACGTGGTTACATATCATAAAATAAGTTTTTTTTCGGAATATTTTTTCTATAAGTGAATTGTGTTGTGCTGAATCTGCTGCTGACTGAGCAAATATTTCTCGTATAATTCGGAGGTAAGCCACGCAAATTCTTAGTATTATTTATGCTTATATTCGGATAGCTTACCTGCAAAAGTGTTTCTCTCACGTTAATGTTTACATTAACTTTATTTATTTTGCACTAGTGTCGTATGTGAACTTATTAGTGACTGATTATTGTGTATTTATTTGTGTCATATTGGCAATATATATTTGGTTTTTGTGAATCATGGCTCCACCACAACCCATCGCAGACGATTTTAATATTTCACGTGTTTTCGTCAAACCTCCCCCATTTTGGAAGGTCAACCCTACTTTGTGGTTTGCACAACTAGAGCCCTAGTTTGATATCGCCGGAATCACTGTTGACTCCACAAAATTCAATCATGTGATATCTGCAATCGAATCTGATTCTCGAATCTGATTGATGCAATCGAATCTGATTCTCAATAGCGTGTGTGATATCGTTTTACACCCACCTGTGACTGGCAAATATGATACACTAAAAACACGCTTAATTGAATTGCATTCTGAAAGTGAGGAGTCAAAGATACGTACACTTCTTCAAGGGCTAGAACTTGGCGATCAACGCCCATCACAATTACTTTGCCGTATGCGAAACCTCGCTGGAGAGACCGTTGGAGAACCTTTGTTGAAATCCCTATGGATATCTCGTCTCCCGCAAAATACACAAAGTATTCTTGCTGCCTTAAATGATGATCTTCCAAAACTAGCAGTTGTAGCTGATAAAATTACAGATCTCACAACTCTCCCGCACATAAATAGTGCTGCTACGGCATCTACCTCTTCCATTGAACAGCAAGTTGCAGAGCTGACAAAGCAGGTAAATGAACTTTCGCTAGCCCTCAAAAACAGCCGTGAGCGTTCCTGTGAACGAAGAGACTATTCCCAAAGCAACAGTAGGCGTAATACACTAGTGTGCAAAAATTATAGACGAAGCCGAAAAATTAGCATATCAGCTGAACGAAGAGGCAGAGCGGACAGAAAGACCAATCAGGAGATTAAGTAAGGTGATGTACGATAGCACATGCGCAGATATGCAGGTAGACGTAATGGAGGAGTGTCTCAGTAGTATAAAACATGTTGGCGGTGTAAGATCAGTATTTCTGGCAAAGAGATTGCACGCCGTATAGCAGTTAAAATCACACCGAGTAGCTGCCTCAGCGAGAAATGGCGAATAATCAATCTGTTAGACGACATCTGGACGCTTTTACCCGAGGTCGAATCATTGCGAAGCTGAAGAAAGGCCGCAGTGTGACAAGTGTGGCTGCAGAGTTCGGAATTGCTCACAGAATCGTTTCACGACTTTGGAGAAAATTTCAAACTACAGGAACAGCTATCCGGGGGTTTAGTAGTGGTCGTCCACGAGGAACCACACCCGCAGATGACCGGTATATTGCCTTACAGGCCAGAAGAAACAGGCGACAGACAGCGGGAGAAATCGCTAGACACACGACACAGGCGAATGGACGACCGATATCGCGTTTTAACGTGGCCAGAAGACTGCACGGTGGTGGTCTATTTGCACGACGCCCTGTACGGTGTGTACCTCTAACGCCTGCCCATCGGAGAAGGCGTTCTCTGTGGTGCCGGAAACACCGGAATTGGAGAGACAATGAATGGGGACGAGTACTCTTTACAGATGAGAGCAGATTCAGTCTGAGTAGCGATTCTCATCGCATACTCATCTGGAGAGAGCGGGGAAGCCGCAATCATCCCTCGAACATCATTGAAAGGGGCAGGTATGGAGGTGGCGGTGTTCTCGTTTGGGATGGCATCATGCTTGGTAGTCGTACAGACCTTCACATCTTCGACGCAGGTTCAGTCAACGGGACCCGTTATTGTAACGAGATTCTTCTTCCATATGTGCGTCTTTTTAGAGGCGCTATGGGTCCGCAGTTCCTTTTCATGGACGACAATGCACCATGTCATCGCACAGTAGCTGCCGAACAGCTCTTAGAGAGTTGAGGATATTGAACGTATGGATTGGCCGGCACGATCTCCGGATCTCAATCCCATTGAGCATGTATGGGATTTTCTAGGCAGACGCTTGACAGCTTGTACCTTACCACCAGTAACGATTCCGGAGCTTCCATTGGTGCTGCAAGACGAATGGGCAGCAATGCCTCAACAACTCATTGACACCCTCATTCTCAGCATGGGCAGACGCTGTGAAACCTGCCTAGCAATCAGGGGAGATCATATCCCCTATTAAAGATCGGATGTTTCTTGCTGGACACCCATCACAGGGATGTTTCGGCCTTCAGTCGCAATGAATGGGCGACTCCATTCTACTTTTCAATAAAGCCTCTTTTTATCCCTCTGATTTCTTTTTTAGTAAGTGTTGCTTACATTACTCATGTCCTTACGTATTGGGGATCTTACGGTATTAAATGTGTTGATTTGGAAAGCTTTTGTACAAAGTTATATTGAAAAAAACCGTCTCGTCCTTAATTTTTGCACACCAGTGTAGATCTAGTGGACGCTATCGACAGTATAAAGAACCGTGCAACAACATCTGTTTCTACTATACTAATTTTGGTTCCAAGGCACGAAAATGTGTTTCTCCGTGCAATTTCCGGCAGTCGGAAAACTAGATCGACGATCGCTTGCCGGCCAACGTTGCGACCGCCACATCAATCGAATTCTTTTGGCCGATTCATCCTCAAAGCTGACTTTTTTAATTGATACCGGAGCCGATTTATCTGTCATTCCCAAGAGTTACAGTCAGCATGCCAAAATACCAGCTGCATTGGAACTCTTTGCCGCTAACGGCACTAAAATTGCAACGTATGGCACCAAACTTTTGACCATCAATTTAAACTTACGTCGCTCATTTACTTGGCCTTTTATCCCTGCAGACGTCAATCAACCCATCATAGGTGTTGACTTTCTCACAAAGTTCAACTTACTCATAGACAACTCATAGACAGTTAAAAACAACCGTTTAATTGATGGACAAACAAAACTACATTCTTGCGGTAGACGTCCTAATGTGAACCCGCTCAGTACTAGCATTCATATTTTGATGGGCAACTCAAAATTTGACAAAATTCTTGCAGATTACCCTAGCTTGACCCCTCAGGGGAAGTTATTGGCTATATTTAGTGCTCGATTGTGAAAAATTGAAAAAGTATTGTATTTGTGATAAAAGTTATTTTTTGGAAAGCCAATAAGAAAAACTTCCCAGGAGTTTGGTACCTTGTCGTGGTCTGAGGGCTCCTCCTCCTAAGGGAGGAGGTCGAAATCCAAACTCCAAGAAATTCAATTGGGGAAACCCCAGGGTCCCAATTGATTTAGATCAAAAATGGATAAATATGTACAGACAGAGACTGTTCCTCAAAATGAACTGATAGAAGAAGCTAGATTATTAATTAGTGACATTGAAACTTGTTTGGTAGAGGCAACTAGAGTAACAGTTCCTCTAAGAAAGAAAGTTTTTAAAGCGCAAGAAGCGCTATTTAACTTTATAGTTTCTCAAGCGTTGGAAATTGAAAACTTAAAGGGAAAATTGGATGTAGTTCAGAAACCACAGATAGAGAAGTCATTTGCAGATATTATTAAAGAACAGAAGATGGAGAAAAAAGTCGTATCAAAGATAAAATTAAGAGAAAAGATGAACATGTGGCTCTTATTTATTCTAAAGTGAAAGGAGGGTCTTCAGAGGAAGTGAAGATGAAAGTTGTCGAAACTATTGATCCTGCAAAGTTAAAAATAGGGATTAGAAATGTTAGAAAAATAAATAATGGTGGAATTGTTATTGAGTGTTTAAATCATGAAGAAATTGATAAATTAGAAGAGGAAATTAAAACAAATGAATTGTTAAAAGAAGATATTGAAGTCAGAGCTCCGATTAAGGAAAATCCAAAAATTATATTATATAATATTGATTTGGAAGTTGGAAAAGAGGAATTACAGGAAGCTGTTATTAAACAAAATCTTATATTTGAAGATGGTGGTTTTATTCCACTTTTTCGGATAAAAGGAAAGAATAATAAGGCTCATTGGGTGGTAGAGATCCAACCTAATAAATTTAGAAATGTTATTAATCAAGGAAAGATTAATTTTAACTGGTTTCGCATAAATGTTAAAGAATATTTGAATGTAGTGAGATGCTACAAATGTCAGGAATTTGGGCATTTTCACAAAGGATGTACTAAAGATTCAATATGTGCTAATTGTGCACAAAAAGGACATAATCACTGGGATTGTAAAAATAGTCCAGTATGTATAAACTGTACAAATGTGAATAACAAGTATAAAATGAGGTTAGACGTGCGGCATTCGAGTTTGGATAAAGATTGTTCATGTTTAAAGAGACAATATGATTTATTAATCAGAAGGACAAATTATGGCTTTTAGAAAAGAATAGAAATAAAAAGAAGTTTTTAATAAATTGTATAAAAAATCTGATTTATGCTAGATGTGTTCGAGAAGGTCACAATCATCGGGATTGTAAAAAAGGTCCAGAATGTATTAATGTTTAAAAAGATAATATGACGTTTTGATTAGAAGAACTGATTATGGTTAATAGTTCTATTAAATTAAAATATGCAAAGGATTTGTATTTTTGTTTGAAAATGTAATAAGTCATTTATGAGATTAATAGTTTGTTTATTGAATTTGTAAGAAAAGAATTTTTTCAGTCTCTGTTCTAATTATTAAATAATTTTTGTTATTAAAAGAAAATGATCTAATTATCTTATGAAATACAAATTGTATAAATGATTTATTTTATGTATGAAATACAAGTTGTATAAATGTTTGTTTAAAAATGTTGTAATCCTAAAAAGGATATTTTGTTATGTAAAAAGTTTATGTAATTATGTAAATTTTATGATTTGTATTTTTGATTTTGATTAATAAAAGGATATTTGTTGGCGAGGGCAATGGATCTTTCGGCCAGTGGAGGGTACAGTATGGTGGATGAATTTATCCTAAATAGAAGTTCCATTAAACCCTGCATATACTAAAAGGTACACAGGATAGATTACCGGTCTTACCCTAGCTTGACGAATTCTTCGCAAACTTTTGAGAGGCCACCAATGTCAACGATTTTCCATCACATTGAAAGTAAAGGACCTCCTATTTTCTCCAAACCTAGAAGATTATCTCCAGAATTACTTCAAGCTGCACGTCAAGAGTTTGATTTTCTCCTATCAAAAGGCATCATTCAGCCTTCAAAAAGTCCTTGGGCAAGCCCCCTGCACATGGTTCGTAAGGCTAATGGCGACTGGCGACCGTGCGGGGATTATCGTCGCTTAAATGCCGTTACAATTCCGGATCGCTATCCCGTACCCCATATTCAGGATTGCACTCAAATGTTTTCAGGAAAGAACATATTCTCAACACTTGATTTAGCACGTGCCTATCATCAAATTCCTGTTAACCCTGCAGACATTCCGAAAACTGCCGTCACAACCCCTTTTGGTCTTTTTGAATTTTTGGCTATGCCGTTTGGTTTACGAAATTCAGGCCAAACTTTCCAACGTTTTATACATGAAGTTTTATTTGGATTGGATTTTTGCATCCCTTATTTTGACGACATCCTTATTGCATCGACTAGCGAAGAAGAGCACATCCGTCATCTTCGTCAAGTGTTTGATCGTTTGAATAAACATGGTTTGACATTAAACCCTAACAAATGTGTACTCGGAAAACCATCTGTTTCATTTTTAGGTTGCCTCATTACTGCCTCAGGTGTAAAACCCCTGCCTGAGAAAACAAAAGCAATTGCCGACTTCCCAAAACCTACCACTATTGTCGAGCTCAGACGTTTTTTAGCCATGATAAACTTTTATCGCCGCTTCTTACCAAAGGCAGCCGAGACCCAAGCTTCACTGAATGAACTCTTAAAAGACTCACGTAAAAATGATAAACGCCCTGTTCCTTGGAACGACGAACTTAATCAGGCATTTGAAAAATGTAAACACGACCTTAGTAATGCTGCAACTCTCTCCTATCACTCTCCTAACCCTGTATCCATAATCGCCTGGCTAAAAAGAAACTGTGATGTCTCATCACGCTCTCTACTTTAACTGCGAACCTAAACCCAAAGCTGAGTGTTATGGTCGACGCTTCTGACATTTCCATCGGAGCTGTCTTAAACGTTCGACATTCTAATGACTACCAGCCGCTAGGATTTTTCTCACGTAAGCTGTCCCCTACAGAACAAAAATACAGCACGTATGACAGAGAATTATTAGCTATTTACGCAGCTATTAAGTATTTCAGGCATAATCTTGAAGGTCAACACTTCACTATATTTACTGATCACCGACCTCTAACTTATGCATTCACATCAAAATCAAATTCTGCTTCCCCGAGACAAATTCGGCATTTAAATTATATAGCTCAATTCAGCACTGATATTCAGCATATATCAGGTTCCAGCAATGTCGTCGCGGATACTCTCTCACGTATTCAGGGCATCGATGCCAATGCACCACTGGATTTCACGCTTATTGCTCACTCGCAAGCCACTGATGAGGAGTTAAAACGTCTGAGTGAAGACCCAAACTGCTCGCTGAAATTCCAGTCATTACAACTTACTCGGGACCTCCAACTATATTGTGCGATACCTTCCAACAACAGACTGCGACCTTATGTACCACTTGAGTTCAGGAAAAAAGTTTTTGACTGTTTTCACAACCTATCGCACCCAGGTATCCGGGCTTCCAAAAAGCTCATACAAGAAAGATTCGTTTGGCCATCCATGCTAAAGGACATTGCCAACTGGACTCGTTCCTGCATCATGTGCCAACGTTCAAAAGTTACCCGGCACACACATAGCCCTTTGGAAAAAATTGCGATGCCATCCGAACGATTCGACCATGTCCATATAGACATCGTCGGTCCTCTGCCACCATCTGACGGTTATCGATATCTACTCACCTGCATTGACAGATTTACTCGTTGGCCTGAAGCTTTTCCCATTCAGGACATCTCTGCTGACTCTGTGGCTCGACAATTCATCACCGGTTGGATTGCACGATTTGGTGTACCATCAGTTGTGACTACTGATCAAGGTCGACAATTCCAGTCACACCTTTTCGCTTCTCTGACATCTATGCTTGGAATACGCCGAATTCGCACTTCACCATACCATCCTTCCGCCAACGGCTTAGTGGAACGCTTACATCGCGACCTGAAAGCAGCCCTGAAGTGCCGTAATGACACCCGTTGGACTACTTCACTTCCTCTTGTGCTTCTTGGTTTGCGTTCTTCTTTCAAGCAAGACCTCGCAGGTACATCCGCTGAACTTGTCTACGGCACACCCCTTCGATTACCATCTGAGTTCTTTCAGCCATCCTCTGCTCCAGTCGATCCAGCATCCTTTGTCCAGACTTTCCGAGAGGCGATGAAGAAGCTGTCTCCGACTCCTCCTTCGTGCCACAACAAATCTGCCCCTTTCGTGCACCACGCACTGAGCACTTGCACTCACGTGTTTGTGCGAAACGACGCGGTCAAACCACCACTCACTCCTCCGTACGATGGACCCTTCAAGGTCTGTGCACGTAACAATAAGCATTTCACCGTTCTCGTGGACGACAAGGAAACCGTTCTGAGCATAGATCGTCTGAAGCCTGCTTTCTTC